TGTATGCCAAGGCGGAGAAATGCCTGTTCTTTCAGGAGTCCATCTCCTTCCCACATGTCCGCGTCTGGGGTGAGGATGGAGAGTGACTGCATTTCGGCTGTGCGTAATTGGTCAACTCCAACCACGGTGAAGGAGGTGCAGCAATTTTTGGGGTTTGTCAATTACTACCGGAGGTTTATCCGTGGCTTTGGTCAGGTAGCGGCTCCCATTACGTCGTTGCTGAAGGGGGGACCGGTGCGTCTGCGGTGGTCAGCTGAGGTGGACAGGGCGTTCAATCATCTGAAGAACCTGTTTCCTCGGCTCCAGTGCTGGCTCATCCGGATCCCTCCTTGGCTTTCAAGGTTGAGGTGGACGCGTCGGAGGCTGGGATAGGTGCTGTACTTTCCCAGCGCTCGGGCACACCACCCAAGCTCCGCCCCTGTGCGTTCTTTTCTAAGAAGCTCAGTCCGGCGGAGCGCAACTATGATGTGGGGGACCGGGAGCTGTTGGCTGTAGTCCAAGCTCTGAAAGCGTGGAGACATTGGCTTTTCTCATTTTGACTGACCACCGCAATCTGGAGTACATCTGGGCGGCGAAGAGATTAAACCCTCGCCAGGCAAGGTGGTCAATGTTTCTCACCCGTTTTTGTTTCACGCTTTCGTACAGGCCAGGTTCCCAGAACGCTAAGGCAGATGCTCTGTCCCGACTGTATGACACGGAGGAGGGTACCGTGGAGCCCACTCCCATACTTCCGGCGTCGTGTCTGGTGGCACCGGTGGTGTGGGAGGTGGACGCGGACATCGAGCGGGCATTGCGTAACGAACCCACTCCTCCCCAGTGTCCAGAGGGTTGTGTGTACGTCCCGCTGGAGGTCCGCGATCGTTTGATCTATTGGGCTCACACGTCACCCTCCTCTGGTCATCCTGGCATCGGTCGGACAGTGCATTGTCTTAGTGGGAAGTACTGGTGGCCCACCTTAGCTAAGGACGTGAGGGTTTATGTTTCCTGCTGCTCGGTGTGCGCCCAGTGTAAGGCTCCTAGACACCTGCCCAGAGGGAAATTGCAACCCCTACCCATTCCACAACGACCGTGGTCCCACCTATCGGTGGATTTCGTGACGGATCTTCCCCCCTCACAAGGGAACACCACAATCCTGGTCGTTGTGGATCAGTTTTCTAAGTCCTGCTGCCTCATTCCTCTGCCCGGTCTCCCTACGGCCCTACAGACTGCTGAGGCCCTACAGTGAGGGAAAAAAGTATTTGATCCCCTGCTGATTTTGTACGTTTGCCCACTGACAAAGACATGATCAGTCTATAATTTTAATGGTAGGTTTATTTGAATAGTGAGAGACAGAATAACAACAAAAAAATCCAGAAAAACGCATGTCAAAAATGTTATAAATTGATTTGCATTTTAATGAGGGAAATAAGTATTTGACCCCTCCGCAAAACATTACTTAGTACTTGGTGGCAAAACCCTTGTTGGCAATCACAGAGGTCAGACGTTTCTTGTAGTTGGCCACCAGCTTTGCACACATCTCAGGAGGGATTTTGTCCCACTCCTCTTTGCAGATCTTCTCCAAGTCATTAAGGTTTCGAGGCTGACGTTTGGCAACTCGAACCTTCAGCTCCCTCCACAGATTTTCACTGGGATTAAGGTCTGGAGACTGGCTAGGCCACCCCAGGACCTTAATGTGCTTCTTCTTGAGCCACTCCTTTGTTGCCTTGGCCGTGTGTTTTGGGTCATTGTCATGCTGAAATACCCATTCACGACCCATTTTCAATGCCCTGGCTGAGGGAAGGAGGTTCTCACCCAAATTTTGACGGTACATGGCCCCGTCCATCGTCCCTTTGATGCAGTGAAGTTGTCCTGTCCCCTTAGCAGAAAAACATCCCCAAAGCATAATGTTTCCACCTCCATGTTTGACGGTGGGGATGGTGTTCTTGGGGTCATAGGCAGCATTCCTCCTCCTCCAAACACGGCGAGTTGAGTTGATGCCAAAGAGCTCGATTTTGGTCTCATCTGACCACAACACTTTCACCCAGTTCTCCCCTGAATCATTCAGATGTTCATTAGCAAACTTCAGACAGGCCTGTATACGTGCTTTCTTGAGCGGGGGACCTTGCGGGCTCTGCAGGATTTCAGTCCTTTACGGCATAGTGTGTTACCAATTGTTTTCTTGGTGACTATGGTCCCAGCTGCCTTGAGATCATTGACAAGATCCTCCCGTGTAGTTCTGGGCTGATTCCTCACCGTTCTCATGATCATTGCAACTCCACGAGGTGAGATCTTGCATGGAGCTCCAGGCCAAGGGAGATTGACAGTTATTTTGTGTTTCTTCCATTTGCGAATAATCACACCAACTGTTGTCACCTTCTCACCAAGCTGCTTTGCGATGGTCTTGTAGCCCATTCCAGCCTTGTGTAGGTCTACAATATTGTCCCAGACATCCTTGGAGAGCTCTCTGGTCTTGGCCATGGTGGAGAGTTTGGAATCTAATTGATTGATTGCCTCTGTGGACAGGTGTCTTTTATACAGGTAACAAGCTGAGATTAGGAGCACTCCCTTTAAGAGTGTGCTCCTAATCTCAGATCGTTACCTGTATAAAAGACACTTGGGAGCCAGAAATCTTTCTTACTTATTTCCCTCATTAAAATGCAAATCAATTAATAACATTTTTGACATGCGTTTTTCTGGATTTTTTTGTTGTTATTCTGTCTCTCACTGTTCAAATAAACCTACCATTAAAATCATAGACTGATCATGTCTTTGTCAGTGGGCAAAAGTACAAAATCAGCAGGGGATTTTTTCCCTCACTGTATATTCAAAACCAACTAAACAGCAAAATTAATGTTTCAATGGAACCAACCAAAATCATACAATTATTTAATACAAAATAAATGTCACCAAAATCAAGGTTTCATCATTTTTGGCACTCCTCATTTAGTACTTAGTGCAACCACCTCTGGCAAGGATAACAGCATGGAGTCTTTTCCTGTAATGTTTGACAAGGTTAAGGAACACATTTGGAGGGATTTTGGACCATTCCTCTATGCAGATCCTTTCAAGATCCTTCACATTCTTGGGGTTGCGCTTATCAACTGCCCTCTCCAACTCAGCCCACAGATTTTTGATTGGATTGAGGTCCGGCGACAGATGTGTGGATCTTGAGGTATGTTTTGGGTCATTGTCTTGTTAGAAAGTCCGCCTACGGCCAAGTCTTAGCCTTCTGGCAGAGGCAACCAGATTGTCAGCCAAAATTGCCTGATACTTGGTGGAATTCATTATGCCATCAATCTTTCTTCTGGCAACCCTTCCAAAGAGCCTGTGGTTGTGGAGGTGGCGTCTGATGGTGCTTTTTGAAACCTGGTGACCCCAAGACGCCACCAAGGCCTGCGATTCTTTAACAGTGATTTATGGGGATTTTTTTGATTCTCTCACCATCCTCCTCCCTATCCTGGGGGGCAAAATGCATTTGCAACCTCTACCCGTGAGGTTTTCAACTGTTCCATATCTTTTTATTTTTTAAATAATTGCCCTGACAGTGCTCAGTGGTATATTCAATTGTTTGTGACAAAGGGATATTGCATGCGTGTTACCTCATTTTCATACCCTAGTGAAACCGGAAGTGATGTAATGGCTCAATATAGTTCCTGAAGAGTTAGATAAACTTAAATAAGTGGAATTTAATTCCTGGTGTAATTTTGGTAGATGTTATTTACAATAATCTTTAAGGGTGCCATTAATTGTGAAACCTTGATTTGGAGGACATTGATTTTTAATTAAATCAATAAATGATTTTGGTGGGTTCCATTGGAACATTAATATAGTACAGTATTTCTCACATGTTGGTATTTTGAGTTTATCTCTGTAATTATATTGTTTATATTTTTTTAAGTATTGTTTGTGCATTGCCAGTCAGGGGTGCCAGTAATTTTGGAGCCCACTGTATATATATAAAAGGGGGATTGGATGTCAGTGTCACGCTCTGGCTCCGGGACTTTGTATGTTGAGCCAGGGTGTGTTCGTTTCGTTGTGTTCTGTTTGGTTGGGTTGTTCTATGTGGTTGTATTTCTTTGTTTGGATGAGTGACTCCCAATCAGAGGTAACGAGTGTCAGCTGGTCGGCTCGTTATCTCTGATTGGGAGCCATATTTAAACTGTCATTGTTCACCTTGGGGTTGTGGGTTTTTGTTCTATGTTCAGTCGTTGTCACTGAGGACTTCATGATCGTGTTTTGTTTTGTATTCTCGTGTATTGCATTAAAGTCAATATGTTCGCTACCAACGCTGCGCTTTGGTCCTACTTCATAGACGATCGTGACAGTCAGCCTCTGGAGTGCCAATGCGCCTCACTATGGGCGTCTGCTGCTATAGAAATCCACTCTGTTGACCCCTGCTTCAGGACCTGAGAGAACAGAGAGAGACAAGAGAATGGCAACATGGTCTCTAAACCACATAGGGGGCAGTCGTTGACACAGATATTAGCAAACTAGGCAGAAACAAGGCTGAAAGAAACTTTAAAAAGACTGACATCTACTCCAAAGAAAAATAGTCTTCCACCTCAATTATGAGAACAGCAGGTACCTGAGTAGTAGAGGAAGTTGGAACGGTCATCACAGAGCCGCTCCACCCAGAGGAAGTTTCCTCTGTTGGCCCCGTTGGTCATCGCTCCACAGGGGTTGGAGATGTCCTTACTAGGGGGGACGCCGTTCACCCAGTGGTTGTAGTGAATACGGTCTCCGGTCATCCAGTACCACGTGTCTTCCATGATGTACCTGCAGGCAGAGAAAGAATTGCTGAAAAGCTACCTCACTTTGAAACAAAGGTGCATGAACAGTGGAGCAAACTGAAGATGAGAAGATTTTCAGCCACTGTTGGTACAGGACAATGGACGTTTGCTACAGAAATCTATATTTGACTGTTAAAACCATCAGGTAGTGTACCTGCCCAGGCACAGCCACACATGGGAGGTGAGGGGGGTGATGAGGTCATTGTCCTTCACCAGGTTCTCCAGCTCCATCTACTCTGTCTCATTGCGCACACTGACCAGGTCCCAGTAGTGGTCTCTGCAGTAGAACAGAGCATCGGACCAGCACAGCTTCTCCCTCACCACCATCATCTTCCTTCTCAAGAAGGTGACACTGGTGGAAGGAGCAGGAGGAGTGGAAGTGGTGGGGAGAAGGGTGGAAGCACTGGTGGAGGTGGGAGATTGAGTGGAGGAGGGGGATGTTGGGGAAGAGGGGAGAAAAGTAATGGTGGGAGGCTGGGTTGTTGTTGTTGGTGGAGCTGCCGATGTAAAGGTTGGAGAAGTGGGTGTTGGAGTAGTGGGTTTTGGATTAGTGTGTGATGGATTATTTGGTGTTGGAGTAGTGGGTGTTGGATTAGTGGGTGCTGGAGTAGTGGGTGTTGGAGTAGTTGGTGTTGGATTAGTGGGTGTTGGAGTAGTGGGTGTTGGAGTAGTGGGTGTTGGAGTAGTGGGTGTTGGAGTGGTGTGTGATGGATTAGTGGGTGTTGGAGTAGTGGGTGTTGGATTAGTGGGTGTTGGATTAGTGGGTGTTGGAGTAGTGGTAGAAGTTGTTGTGGTGGTGGTGGTGGTTGAGTCTGAAACAGAAGTCCAAGAGCTCAGTTATTATTTGTGGACACTAATTTCAAATTTCAACTTCAAATTCTCAACCCTACATACAATAATATTTACTTTGTATATGTATTTGATTAATACACCTACCAGATCCCCCCCCCCCCCCCCCCCCCCCCCCAACAAATATCAGTTTCTGATTCTCCTACACTTCTGCGATGGGTTGTTACTTCAGGTGTGCAATAAAATTAGTGTAAACCTTACTTGATGATGAATGTAAAAAGTGAAGACAGTTACAGGTGATTACCTGCAGGAATGCCATTTACTTCCAATTCACACAGAGTGAGATATTCCGACCTGCCTGGGATGACCACAACAACATAACGACCCTCCATCTTATTACACTGGAAGATATTGGTCTCTCCTGCTGGGATGGTGGTGATGACAACACATCTGAGAGAGAGAGAGAGAGAGAGAGAGAGAGAGAGAGAGAGAGAGAGAGAGAGAACATAATGAGAGTTAATGAGGATGCTATAAAATGTACCATATAGAATACAGAATACTGTCAGTCTGTTAAATACATATCCACAGAATAGCTACAGAAGCATGGATGAAGACCAATGTATCCAAATACCTTCAAGACAGGACGTAAAAATATACAGATGTCTATGTATCACCTGGGGTTGTTGATGCCGTTGTTCTCCAGTGAGTTACCGATATGGATCTCAGCACCATCAAGCCTTTCAGAGCAGCAGTCTCCTCTGTTGGTGATGGTGACAGCTGTCACTCTGTACACATCCAGCAGGTCCACTCTCCACCAGGGGTTGGTCTCCAGTGCTGTGTGGGTGCAGGATCCTTTTTGACCGTCTGATTCTCTGTTCCCATCAATGGCATTGTCAGCCTTAGCATACCAATCCATTAATGACTGGCTGGCCACTCCTTTCAGAGACACATTTACTACAGGGAATACTGTTTTAATAGAGAAATGGAAAACAGAAAGGAAAACGCTGCACACTGCTGCTCATGCTCCCAGGTTATATTTATTTATAACAACGTTTCCACCCTTAGGTCTTCATCAGGCGTCCATACCCCAGGTGGGTGTGGAAGGTCCTATATATAGGGGCAGTACTCAGTGGCGTCACTTCCTGAAACAGGAGGTAAAGAAATGCATAACATAGGTTCTCAAGATTAACATTCAATTTATCAAAATATATTATCATACACAAGGAATGTGATACAATATTTACAGTAATATACATACACATACAATATTTAATTAGGACAACAAAAAAAATCCGGCACATCTGAAAAAACACACAATTTGGACATTTTAATACTATAAAAACGGTTTCAAGTCAAACTCCTCATTAAGGCCAAGATGAGACAATGTGTTGAGCCTGTGGATCCAGAAAGACTCCCTTTGAAGAAGTTTCCTCTCAATGTCCCCTCCCCTCCGTGACTTCTTGACAATTTCTATTCCTATGTATCTCAGAGAACTAATAGGATGTCCAGCTTGTACAAAATGAACAGCAACTGGATTTTTGGAGTTCCATGCTTATCTAAACTTGTTGAATGAACTCCTGCATTTCACCATTAACTATGACCTATCACAAATCAGTTTTCTTGATGTGATGGTTATTAATGACAAAACCTCCCTCTCTACAGATCTCTATAGGAAACCTACAGACAAGAATACCCTCCTTAGAGGTGACAGCTTTCATCCACGTCCACTTATTAAAAGTCTCGCTATAAGTGTGTAGGGCCCTGTGAGTGTGTAGGGCCCAGTGAGTGTGTAGGGCCCAGTGAGTGTGTAGGGCCCTGTGAGTGTGTAGGGCCCTGTGAGTGTGTAGGGCCCAGTGAGTGTGTAGGGCCCAGTGAGTGTGTAGGGCCCTGTGAGTGTGTAGGGCCCTGTGAGTGTGTAGGCCCAGTGAGTGTGTAGGGCCCTGTGAGTGTGTAGGGCCCTGTGAGTGTGTAGGGCCCTGTGAGTGTGTCCCCTACAGTGAGTGTGTCCCCTGTGAGTGTGTAGGGCCCAGTGAGTGTGTAGGGCCCTGTGAATGTGTAGGGCCCAGTGAGTGTGTAGGGCCCTGTGAGTGTGTAGGGCCCTGTGAATGTGTGTGTGTGTGTGTGTACTTATTGTGATCGAGATGTAGTTGTCCCTGATTGCACTGACTTTGCTCACAGCTGCATGTTTGAAGAAGTGTACTTACTGTGTTCAAGATGTGGTTGTCCCACTGGCTATCCTAAGTTGAATGCACCAATTTGTAAGTCGCTCTGGATAAGAGCGTCTGCTAAATGACTTAAACGTTAAATGTTAAGTGTGTGTGTGAGTGTGTAGGGCCCTGTGAGTGTGTAGGGCCCTGTGAGTGTGTATGGCCCTGTGAATGTGCAAAAACAAGAATACAATACAAGGGTCAACACAGATATTTAGCTATTTAGCAGTCTTATGGCTTGGGGATAGAAGCTGTTCAGGAGCCTGTTGGTGTCAGACATGATGCACCAGTACCACCTGCTGCACGGAAGCAGAGAAAACAGTCTATGACTTGAGTGGTGGGAGTATTTAACAATTTTCCGGGCCTTTCTTTTACACCGTCTGATCTAGAGGTTCTTGATGGCAGAGAGCTCGGCCCCAGTGATGTACTGGGCTGTCCGCACCACCCTCTGTAGCATCATGCGATCGAGGGAGGTGCTATTGCCATGCCAAGCAGTGATTCAGCCAGTCAAGATGCTCTCAATGGTACAGCTGTAGAACTCTTTGAGGATTTGAGGGCCCATGCCAAACCTTTTCAACCTCCTGAGGGAGAAGAGGCGCTGTAGCGCCTTCTTCACAACTGTGTGCTTGTGTGTGGACCATTTTAAGTCCTTAGTGATTTGGGCACAGAGGAACTTGCAGCCCTGTCGATGTGGATGGGGGCGTGCTCACCCGTTTCCTGAAGTCCACGATCAGCTCCTTGGTCTTACTGACGTTGAGGGAGAGGTTGTTGTCCTGCCCCACACTGCCAGGGCTCTGACCTCCTCCCTGTAGGCTGTCTCATCGTTGTCGGTGATCAGGCCTACCACAGTCGTGTTGTCAGCAAACTTGATGATGGTGTTGGAGTCGTGCGTGGCCATGTAGTCATTCGTGAACAGAGAGGAGGGGACTAAGCACACACCCCTGGGACTAAGCACACACCCCTGTGGGGCCCCCGTGTTGAGGGACAGCGTGGCGGTGGTGATGTTGCCTACCCTCACCACCTGGGGTCAGCCTATCAGGTGGTCCAGGATCCAGTTGCAGAGGGAGGTGTTCAGTCCCAAATCAAATCAAATCAAATGTTATTTGTCACATGCAACAGGTGTAGACCTTACAGTGAAATGCTTACTTACAAGCCCTTAACCAACAATGCAGTTTTAAGAAAAATACGTTTTAGGTAAACAATACATAAGTAAAAAATAAAATCAGTAAAATAACAGTAAAAATAACAGGGTGCTAAGCTTGGTGAAGAGATTGAACGCTGAGCTGTAGTCAAGGAACAGCATTGTCACGTAAGTATTCCTCTTATCTAGGTGGGTGAGGGCTGTGTGAAGTGCAATTGAGATTGCGTTATCTATGGATATCTTTGGGGCGGTATGCAAATTGGAGTGGGTCTAGGGTGTCTGGGATGATGGAGTTTTTTTATTATATTTGTTTTAATTTGATTTTAAAACATACAATCTACTTGCGGTGAAGCCGCTCAACATTTACATTACATTCAGTCATCTGGCAGACACTCCCATCCAGAGCGACCCACAGGAGTAACCAGGGTCAAGCACCCCACCCAAGGGCAGAAGGACAGATGCCCCACCCAGGCGTATCGGGAACCAAACCAGCGACCCAACCGCCAGGCGACCAACCATCCAAGACCCCCCCAAAAGTCCCTCCCCAAAAACCTCCCCCTCCACTTCCCACCCCCAAGCCCCCCACTTTCTCCCCCTCCCCCAAGCCACCGTCCCCCTCCAACCCGACCAAAACCACCACCGACCCAATGCGCCAACAACCAACAAAAATAACAAAAGACAAAAAAGAGAAAACCAAAGGAAAACAACAACAGAAAACATAAGACATCAAGGACAACAATAATCTAAACATGAAGGCCAACTGAATACGTTCGTGTGCATACGTGGCACTATTTACATGTGTGTATGTGTGTGTCCGTTTGTGTGCACGTGTGCGTTTGAATGATAGTGTGTGTATGCATGTGTATGTGCGTACAAGCGCTTGCGTGGCATCAGCCTCAGGCAGTAGGGTGTTTGAATTCCTCATGTTAAGATCAAGTTGTAGATATGACAACTTTCTCTTTTCCAATAACAATCTATTTGTAAAGTAATATAAAAAAGTTAAGTCAATCTATTAGGATTTAGAATATCAAAAAGACTGTGGTCTCACCTGTCACAGCATTGGCCATCTGGGCTAGCAACACAACACCTGTGAATAAGTAATAATTTGCATACATTAAAATCATCTTCCTTGCTTATCCATACAGTATGTCATTTTGCCCAATTTATAACAGTAGTTGTAGAGGCACTACGGTGAACCAGAGGTATGATTACCAACTGTTGCTACAGAAACAGTGATGGAAAGTAGGAAGTAGAGAAATTTGAAAAAGTAAGAAGCAAAAGGATGCAACATTGTTTGCTGTTGTTGTGCAAAAAACCCCACAGAAAACCCCAACAACAGCAGGCATAGATGTCTGCATACTTATGCATTAGACACTCACCCATTAAAGGCCAAAGAGAGAGACTCCACTGCATGTTCAGTGGTGGAGGCTTCATTCAACCACCTGTCTCCTGTCTGTAAAGACTAAACAAAAACACTGGAGGTAGGTGCCCTGGGACCCAAATGCGTTAGTCCGGCCCTGGTCAGCATAGGTTTAAATCCAACTCCCTGCCCTTCTAACTTGCACTCTCTCCTACCTTTCCCTTCTCTTCCCTGTTCTATCTCAGTACAATACATTTAAATAAGAATAATAATATGAATAATAACAGCATGAATAATAATAATTTGAATAACAATAATAATATATGAATAATATTATTATTAATAATGATACATCAAATTGGTGACTATGCACATTTCTTTAGAATTTGAATTTGCATCACATACAGCATACTGTTGGTGATTTTCTGTTATCTGAATAAATTGTACAGTATACTGTTGCTTCTTTTATGGTTGGCTATTGTTTACAGTTAACTAAACAAGACATGCTAAAAGATGGAATATCCACAAAAAAAATGAATTCACCAGGTACACAATACACAGCACACAAACGTGACAAATAAAATCCTTCTGGTGGTAACATTTTTAAAATCAAGTGAACAACATTGAATGTTCTGTCATTGAACAGGCTTTTACAGCAATTATTAAAATAATACAAATGTATAAATGAAATCCTTATTAATTTTAAACATTGTACATGAAAGAACACAGTAGCTACCCGAGGTTTGAAGAAGTTGAAGTTTTGAAGAGTGGTAGTAGCTCTGTCTGTGCATCAGTCACCTTACAGTGGGGAAAAAAAGTATTTAGTCAGCCACCAATTGTGCAAGTTCTCCCACTTAAAAAGATGAGAGAGGCCTGTAATTTTCATCATAGGTACACGTCAACTATGACAGAAAAATTGAGAAAAAAAAATCCAGAAAATCCCATTGTAGGATTTTTTATGAATTTATTTGCAAATTATGGTGGAAAATAAGTATTTGGTCACCTACAAACAAGCAACATTTCTGGCTCTCACAGACCTGTAACTTCTTCTTTAAGAGGCTCCTCTGTCCTCCACTCGTTACCTGTATTAATGGCACCTGTTTGAACTTGTTATCAGTATAAAAGACACCTGTCCACAACCTCAAACAGTCAGACTCCAAACTCCACAATGGCCAAGACCAAAGAGCTGTCAAAGGACACCAAAAACAAAATTGTAGACCTGCACCAGGCTGGGAAGACTGAATCTGCAATAGGTAAGCAGCTTGGTTTGAAGAAATCAACTGTGGGAGCAATTATTAGGAAATGGAAGACATACAAGACCACTGATAACCTCCCTCGATCTGGGGCTCCACGCAAGATCTCACCCCGTGGGGTCAAAATGATCACAAGAACGGTGAGCAAAAATCCCAGAACCACACGGGGGGACCTAGTGAATGACCTGCAGAGAGCTGGGACCAAAGTAACAAAGCCTACCATCAGTAACACACTACGCCGCCAGGGACTCAAATCCTGCAGTGCGAGACGTGTCCCCCTGCTTAAGCCAGTACATGTCCAGGCCCGTCTGAAGTGCATTTGGATGATCCAGAAGAGGATTGGGAGAATGTCATATGGTCAGATGAAACCAAAATATAACTTTTTGGTAAAAACTCAACTCGTCGTGTTTGGAGGACAAAGAATGCTGAGTTGCATCCAAAGAACACCATACCTACTGTGAAGCATGGGGTTGGAAACATCATACTTTGGGGCTGTTTTTCTGCAAAGGGACCAGGACGACTGATCCTTGTAAAGGAAAGAATGAATGGGGCCATGTATCGTGAGATTTTGAGTGAAACCCTCCTTCCATCAGCAAGGGCATTGAAGATGAAACGTCGCTGGGTCTTTCAGCATGACAATGATCCCAAACACACCGCCCGGGCAACAAAGGAGTGGCTTCGTAAGAAGCATTTCAAGGTCCTGGAGTGGCCTACCCAGTCTCCAGATCTCAACCCCATAGAAAATCTTTGGAGGGAGTTGAAAGTCTGTGTTGCCCAGCGACAGCCCCAAAACATCACTGCTCTAGAGGAGATCTGCATGGAGGAATGGGCCAAAATACCAGCAACAGTGTGTGAAAACCTTTTGAAGACTTACAGAAAACGTTTGACCTGTGTCATTGCCAACAAAGGGTATATAACAAAGTATTGAGAAACTTTTGTTATTGACCAAATACTTATTTTCCACCATCATATGCCAATAAATTCATTAAAAATCCTACAATGTGATTTTCTGGATTTTTTTTTCTCATTTTGTCTGTCATAGTTGACGTGTACCTATGATGAAAATTACAGGCCTCTCTCATCTTTTTAAGTGGGAGAACTTGCACAATTGGTGGCTGACTAAATACTTTTTTTCCCCACTGTACGTGCCAGTTATCATTCTTTAAACACTGGAGGTAGGTGCCCTGGGACCCAAATGCGTTAGTCCGGCCCTGGTCAGCATAGGTTTAAATCCAACTCCCTGCCCTTCTAACTTGCACTCTCTCCTACCTTTCCCTTCTCTTCCCTGTTCTATCTCAGTACAATACATTTAAATAAGAATAATAATATGAATAATAACAGCATGAATAATAATAATTTGAGTAACAATAATAATATATGAATAATATTATTATTAATAATGATACATCAAATTGGTGACTATGCACATTTCTTTAGAATTTGAATTTGCATCACATACAGCATACTGTTGGTGATTTTCTGTTATCTGAATAAATTGTACAGTATACTGTTGCTTCTTTTATGGTTGGCTATTGTTTACAGTTAACTAAACAAGACATGCTAAAAGATGGAATATCCACAAAAAAATGAATTCACCAGGTACACAATACACAGCACACAAATGTGACAAATAAAATCCTTCTGGTGGTAACATTTTTAAAATCAAGTGAACAACATTGAATGTTCTGTCATTGAACAGGCTTTTACAGCAATTATTAAAATAATACAAATGTATAAATGAAATCCTTATTAATTTTAAACATTGTACATGAAAGAACACAGTAGCTACCCGAGGTTTGAAGAAGTTGAGGTTTTGAAGAGTGGTAGTAGCTCCTGTCTGTGCATCAGTCACCTTACGTGCCAGTTTATCATTCTTTGTACACAATGATAATGAAAGTGTATTGTACACTCCTCTCCTATTCAAATAGGCTTCTACTCTTTCCAAGGGTTCAATCAAGGACTGATACACAGTGGTAGATACTCCTTCAATCAGGTAGATCTACAAATATTGAAAGACACTTTTTTTTGTGAAAATGATCAATCTATCATCTCTGATAAAAAACTATTCAAGTCCAGTCTGATGTTTTGTAGGGAGCCCTGTGCTCTTTCTCCTTTAAACCTAATTTTACCTTACAAACTTACGTGACGCAAGAACGCAATTAGTTATGCAAAATGGTGGACCTGGATCATTACCACCAACCCCGGACTGTCTCATTACGCACACCTGGTTCCCATTCCCCCTGATTAGTATGTGTATATAGGTGCCCTCTGTTCCCCATTGTCCTTGTCCATTATTGTCCCATGTCCGTTGGTCTCGTGAGTACCGTGTATTGTGCTCCTGTAATTACGGGTCTCGTCCCGTGTATGTATTTAGAGGTTTACACCTCGCTCTTTTGTTTGGGTTACAGCCCTGTGTTATATTGTTTTGGGCTTCGTCCCCATCGTTTGTTATGACGTACCTGGTGTTGGGTGGAAAAATAAAACCCCTAATACGTATTCCTGCGCCTGTCTTCCTGTCATTATACAACGTGACAGAATAATCAACCTCCAAATGGAGACAGCGGGAAAGGCAGAGCTGGCGACCATCGTAGTCCAGCATAGCGATGACTGTCTCTCCAGACTCGGCAGCGCCATGGACAGCGTACAGGCAACCATCCTGCGTTTGGAGGGGAATGTGCAGTCCCTCCAGTCTCCAGCACCGGTTCCGGCACCAGTCCCCACACAACCACTACCTGCCTCTGTCCCATCTGAGGCTGTCTGCGGAATACCCCTGTCCCTCCTGGAGCGCTTTGACGGTGGCCAGCGAGATGCAAGGGATTCCTTCTGCAATACAACCTGTACCTCGCTCGCTACGCTGAGGCTGTCTCTGGGAGAGACAGGGTTGCCACCGTCATCTCGGGACTGACTGGACGGGCACTGGACTGGGGTGCCGCGGTCTGGGAAACGGGCAGACCCGAGGTCGAGTCATACGAGCACTTCACTCTCCTCTTCCGATCGGTGTTTGTTCATCCTGTGGGTGAGCATCTACTCCGTCTACGTCAAGGATCTAGGACCGCCTCGGAGTTTGCCCTGGAGTTCCGGACCATTGCGGCCTCCACCGGATGGAACGAGTCGGCTCTGATCACCGTTTTCCGCAGCAGACTGCTGGAGGAGGTACAAATGGAGTTAGCTTGCCATGATGACAACCTGTCACTTGAGCAGCTCATCAGCATGGCCATCCGGTTAGACAACTGCCTGCGGTCCCGGCGAAGACGTGCGCGGAATCCGGATCCCATGGCTACACCTGCTCCTTCACCAGAGCCGATGGAGGTGGGCTCTGCAACGTTTGGCCGAGGCAGAGCGTAAGAGAGGGAGGAATCTGGGCCTCTGCTCCTATTGTGGAGAAAGGGGTCATTCCTCCCCGACCTGCCCTCTATCCACTAATAGGCAAGGAGGTGACAAGCCAGGGAATTCC